TACTACTACTACACTACGTACTACTACTACTACTACAACTACAACTACACTACTACTACTATACTACTACTACACTACTAAACCTTACACACACACACACACACACACACACACACACACACACACACACACACACACACACACACACACACACACACACACACACACACACACACACACACACACACACACACACACACACACTTCAGTTGTATATGCGAGAGGTGTTCACTAGTGAATGTGAGAGTATTTCAATAGTGTGTGTGAGGTTAATTTTCAGGAGTAAGTGTGTGCGATTTAATTTTCAGTTGTTTGTGTGTGAGGTGTTCACTATGAATGTGAGAATATTTCAATAGTGTGTGTGTGTGTTGTGTGTGAGGTTAATTTTGAGTAGTATGTGCGTGATGTTTAATTTTCAGTTGTGTGTGTGCAAGGCCAGATGTTTTCAGTAGTGTGTGTGCGCGGTTAGTTTGAATGTTGGCCTACGACAGAGGCCTGCATCGGGTGACCCACAAAAAAAGTGATTCACGGGTGGTATTTTTTCAAATGCTTTTTTCCGGGTTCGGTTCTGGGTAAAACAAAGATGATGCGTGTCGGGTCGCGGGTGTTGCATAATAAATAATATACAAATTATAATAATTGAGTGTAATGTTTAAATCTTCAGACCTCTCCCCCGCGGGACCGTGCATAATCATAACCTCTGCAGCGCATCAATCTGCTGCATTAGAAATAGCTGAGGTGAAGCTCTCTAGCGGAGAATACAGCATTTTCAATAACACTTCCTCAACAGCGAAATCCAACGTCTGGGAGGCTTTTGGTGTCATCCTAGATGGAGAAAAATAACCAACATCCCACGCTTTTTGAGACAAATATGCAACTGCGTGTGTTAATAATTGCACGTTTTCACTGCTCATATAGGCCTATATGCGGGTTCGGGTCGATTTGCGGATCTTGTGCCGACGGGTCGGGTCGGTTTGCACTAAGTTTGAACTAATTGGCAATATGTGCGGGTGGCGGGGCGGGTTCGGTATTGCACGTCGCGGGTGCGGGGCGGGAGCCGGTCTTGAAAATCAGACCCGTGCAGGACTCTGCTACACGGCCCTTCATACTGGAACGCTATTCCATCACTCCCTTCTCACACAAAAACCCCTCCTTTTTCTCCCTCAATCGGCTCCACTGTGCACCCACTCCTTCTATCCTGCTTGTAAATCCTTCCATATTCACACATTGTCGCTGCTGTGCTCATGCAGGCACTCTGTGGTGCATCCTCCCCTGCTTGTCCCCATACTTCAACCCCCCCCCTCTCCCTTCTTCTCTGCCTCTCCCCTCCCAACCTCTCTGTATTGACTCTTCAGAAGCGCCACAGCTTGTAGAGTCTACTGTGGCAGACGCAGCCAAAATGACAGCAGGCACTCCAGCCTCCCTCCCTTCCTCCCTTCCTCCCTTCCTCCCTCCCTGGCCCAATCATCCATCCTCCCTTCACACTATGCTCTCTTCGCCACCCTTCTATCCTTACACTCGATCGGTGCCGTAGCTCCTGTAGTCCACTGCAGCGGAGACGGCCACTATGACAGCAGGCACTCCGTAGCCTGCCAGGTAGAAGTATTTAGTCCTGGAGTGTTCGCTCTCAAACACCTCTACCAGCATGATGTAGAGCTGCACCCCTTCCAGGAACATCCAGGTGAAGGCTGCCAAAAAGAAGAAATGGAGTAAGGCTGCGAAGACCGCACAGGCAATCTGGTGAGAGAAAGAAAAAGATGGAGAGGATTTAAAAATACAGTGAGCCTACAAACACTAATGCACTATGGACATTTGCACTGATGAGTTTAGAAAGAAACACAAACCCTGAAGGCAATAAGGGTATGAGTCAGACTTCATCATTTATCATATTCACACAAGGAAGAAAATGTGCAGGATTAACAATTGGTCTGCCAATGCTGGAATAGATAGGAGAGGAAGAGGGCAAGTGAAATAGAAAATGGGTCTCACAATCATAGTGAACTATAAGAGCAATTACAGGCGACAGACTGAGGGAAAATCACTTCAAGACAGCAATATTAGCTGAGCCTCCTTCACATTTTACTCTACATCTGCAAGATATCTAAGAAGATTAATGAGAGAATAGAAGTGACAAGTTGTTGCGGCAGCCTTCGCTGATTGTCCACATTTCATACAGAAATAGCAAAACACTTTCAAAAGAGGCTGAGAGAGAAGGGAGGGGGGGTGAAATAGTGAGAGGGGCGAACAACTTGGCAACATTGTTGAAAATACATTATGATTATGTTCAATGCCAACGAATAGCAAAACGAGTCGAACTATGAAACTCAGCCCTTTGGTATGAAAGAGACAAAGCTCACATTCAATTTGACACATTTTTGGAAAAAGCCAGCAGTAACGTCATTTTAGGTTGTTGTGATTTCATGCCACTATTAGAGCTGAATTGCATCTTTGTGCTGAGCTGAACTGAATTTTTTAAGATGACCTTCAAAATCAAAACACTGTACAAGTTCTTAATCAAATATCAAATAGAAATAATAATATTTGCTTCAACCAGTACCAATCAGTGGCTTAACGCTCGCATTTTTGTAGCCAGTGAAAGGTTGGATGAAAGGAATGTAAAAGAGAGAGGGAGGCAGATGATAAAATACTTAGAAAACACAGTCTCCTGAATTAAAAAGAGAATCAGTAGGGGAATGAAAGAGGGGTATCAAACCTAAAACCACATTAAAAATTGAGGCAAGACGATGGGAAGAAAAGAGGGGTGCTCAAAAAAAGAAGTTGAGTGGTTATATCCGGCGCTTCTCATTGTATTGTCCTAATCTAAAGAGTTTCTCCTAAATCATTGAATGGGAAAGCTAACAGACAGACTTTTATAATGGAGGGGTTTGCAGCGAGAGACAATTACCTAATGTCTGAGAGACAATGAGTTTAGGGGGCTAGGGAGTCACTCATTTCCATTTCTAATGATCACACAGTGTAGCTTACTCACACCAAGATACACACATGCAAGCACACACACACAGGTTAAAAGAATTGGCTGCTTATGCAAAGTCATTTCGTTTTTTCCAGCTGGAATTTACTGGCTTAACCGGCTGCGAGCTAAGTGACGCTGAAGATGTTAATGGAGGTCACAAATAGTCACCAGTAATTAACGGCACACACAAATACGTCGGCACACGTACATACAAAGCAACAACATTCCTGCTCCGACACAAACATACACTGACAAGGAGGAATACAAACACCTCAATGTCAAGGCAAGTCAATTATGTTTTATTATTGAACGCTCAGCTGGATACAAAGGCCTCAGGCTGTTTTAGCCTTCTTGAATACTATGAAGGGGATAAAAGATACAGACCTGAGCGTTTTCTCCCTCACAGAAAAAATCACAAGATTCAAAGCAGCTCACAAAGTTAATACAGGCTCCCTAGCACAAATATGCGTAAAATGTCCAAAACTGCATTATGTCATTACATTGCACGGTTAGACAATGACAGCACACATCAAGGCTGCCTGCAGTAAATGTTGATTATATTTGGGTGACCTTGCCCAGAGGAATTAGAGGAGAATCTGAGAATCTGACCCGTACGATTTTTGTGTAAGTATTTGCATCCAAGTGAGGTTTAAGGTCCTAATCCATCCATGATTGGCGTATTGAATGCGAACCATATGGATTATACAACAAGGGCTGTGACTAGAATGCAGACCATGTGGACCCTGATAGTCGAGCCAAAACTGAATCATTATTCGCTTTATTCCAGTTGGTTCTTTTTCCACATAGCTTTAGATTTTGTTATTGTTCCTCCTCTTCTGCAGTTGTGGGTTGAAGAAGCTGAGTGCAGTTCCACATGAGCAGCAGCAGCCATGCATCATTAACCGTAACAAAAAGTCCCAATCTGGTAAGGTCTGAGCAGTGGAAGCGAAAAGTAGAAAGTGAGCAATTAGGTTATAATAGTGAAGTTATGTTAGCCTTTTTCACACAAGCAGCAATGGTAGCAGTGAATGGCAACCCTTTTAAAATCATATTGAGTCCACTTGAATCTGTCTGCTCCTTTGAATAGGGCCTGTAGCAGCTTACAATGTTAAATCTAAAAATAAAAGTTCAAATCGAATAAAGGGGAATAAAGCAAACTTTCAATTTAATTTAAGATTGATAATGTAATTTTGTTGACTGGTTACAACATTAATAGTTGGGTTTAAATTAATATTACAAATAGAAAAAGTGTTGCATAAACAATCTTTACCTGAATGCATAGCTGAAGAATAAGGATCCTTGTATTACATTTTGATGCACATAATGACACACAGAGCCAGTAAAGACTGACACAGTGGCCCAGAATAAACCCAGAGGTTTGTCTGAATGTCAATATTATCTGACCTGGCCTGGCTACGCTCATAAGCCATTTACAACCTGGTACTGTACATTATATGTAAGTATTTTTCTACTATCTGTTGAATTACTAAACTGTACTACCTGCCATTATATTACATATTGGCAGCATATTTTCCCCAAACATGAATTCTGCTCTTACCGATCTCAGAGGCACTTACACATGATTGACCCCATACAATAGCATCGACTTTTTAGAAGAAGACTACAACAATTTAAATAAGTGACACCACTTTGCCACCAATTTCAGGATCAATATCTGGAATAAATATTTCAATAACATGTCCAACATTCTGTTACCCACACAGGCCTGGATTCAACCAGGATGATCTAACAGTTTAATAGTGATGTTTGCACACACTATCTTGTGAGAAATATATGAATGGTCAAATCAGGTTGAACCCACATTCAGTATCCTGCCTTACATGGCCTTTGTTTGTGAAATGATTAGTTTGAAAAAAGAAAAAAACGAAGTCAACAGGATTCCTTAGCAAGAAAGACTGCAGCTTTTGTAGCCTAAGGGAGGAAATGACTAACAAAAGTCACTTTGGACTGAGGCACAGCATAACACATGTAACAAAGCTAAAACACAGCAAACAAATGGTCCTAATAGCCAATAACAAAGTCTGTGTTATGCACTGTAAATCACCTCTGTTACAACTGGGAACAAAAGAACAAACAGATTAGCTCTTTCTGTACCTACATTTTGTTATATTAAAGTTAACTTGCCATTTAAGAAACACAACAACCTGACTGAGCTATTAGCCTGAAGTTAAAGATGATTTTTTGTCTGCTTCTGCCTTTGTTGGCCATCCTTTCTGAATTAGCCACAGACTGTAAAACGATTAATCTTGGAAGGTGCCACAATCCAGGCTGGTTTGAATACAAATGTATGGTATGTTTAACAGCCAATAAGAGAAATCTCTGCTTTGGATTAGTTCCGGGAATGATGAATGTAACAAATCTGCTGTTCCTTATTCATGTTGCTGCAATGTGGTAAACCACTGACAGCCAGTTATTAAATATTTCACAATTTACTTTGCCAACAATGCGGTATGATCCGTGGTATCGGTCAGTAGAAAGTTATGCCAAGTCTGTGCCAACACAGCATAAATTAAACATTTTGAAATGTAGCCTGTGTGCCATATATTTGTTTTTATTTATCGATTTCATTTATTAATGAGCTTATAGTCATACAAATATGCATGCCCACATGCTGCCTTTTGTACACACACACACACAGAAAGTCTTGGCAGTCTTACCGGTTGATCAGCCCTGTTGATCCCCACCAGGAAGAGTGACTCAGCGATGAAGAGGCTGATGCAGAGGTTCTTGTGGATGGTGTTGCGGTCACTTTGCAGCCCACGGAAGAAGCAAAAGGTGAAGATGCAGATAAGCAGGCAAACCAGCGACAACAGAATCCCCACCCAGGTGATGACGTCCAGGAGCAGGTCGTGCATGCTGTCTGCTTTCTGTGGGAAGTGCAAGAAAAGTGAATTATTTAATAGCCATTTCAAACTACTGTATTTAGTTATGTATTACGTTTGGCTTTGGTTTTCAAAATAACATACATGAGTCATACTGTATAAAATACACACATCCCCCCTCCCCTGACTGATGTGAGTGGGGCTGTGTGTCGCTGAGCGTTCAGGGCCACAGCGTTACGCTGCGTTGCACAGGTGTGCTGGCTCTATCCATCAGTGTCCTGCGACCTGGCAGCCAGAGCAATGTTCAACATAGCACTGCTGTGATGGATCTACTGCTCAAACCCTCACACTGTGTTCACAAAGGGTTGCCAAGCTAGCTCTGACCATGACCCCTTTAGAAGTAACACACATCCTGTGGCCCAGAGGGAGAGATTGGGTGTCACACAATATCCAGAGTTACAAGAGCCGATTTGTGGTGAAGAAACTTGGTCTTAACGTAACAAAAGAGGGAGACAAAGAGTGCTTATCCCTCACACGGCGGGACAATGAGGTTTTTATCCACCGCCCACAGTGACTCATGGATATCAAAATAAATGAGCCCCTTTCACTTTTTGATCTGTGAAATGTAATTTTTACAATAAGAAAGGACCTGCACCTTTTTTTGGTTCAAGTTTCTGTAGTTAATTAAAAAAGCATCTGTTTTGGTTATACAGAACTCCATAGATTGTATTGTTTTCCTTTTTTAATTTTCTGTCAAATTAATGTCATCTGGCCTGACGAATCAATTGTAAAATGTCTCCCGCCAAGTATGATTACTCAGTAGTGGAGAGCCTGCAGAGGGCTAATCTATTTCCCAGATGTTGTGGTCTCCTTCCCTTCCTTCCTTGCCTCTTTTGAGATTCTGTCGACCAGCCTTGCCAGCCACTGCTAATCAAATGATGAACAACTGACCCTTTGATCCTGCCCATCCCCGCTTGGCAGGCACAGCAGAATGAACGCCTACCTTCACCTCAACGTGGGCCATAAGCACTGCAAAGCTGGTGAGGTGTGTGCAGGAGCAGGTGGTGTGTGTGCGATTGGTCGCCAGCAGACGACAGTCCTTGGTAGACCAGATCCCCATCATGGTGCGCTTGGAGTAGCTCCAGAATGAACAGTTGGGATTGAAGTTCTCTTTCGAATGCTAGGGGCAAGGGAGGAGGAGAGAGAGTGAGAGAAAATCCGAGACATGGAGCAAGAAATTGAGACAGAGAGAGAGAGGAACAAAGATGAGGATGGGTAGGGGAGCGGGAAGGCAGAGAACGGATACTTAGTCATGGGGAGGTGGGAGGTAGAAAAGATTAAGTGTTGGGAGAGCCAATGAAAGTGAGAAAATGGTGGGAGGGATTGGTGCAGAAAGGGATGGAGAGGAAGGAACACAGAGAGGGAGTCAAGCACACAAGACAACAAAACAACAAACAGAAGGGACAGAATGCGAGAGTGCAGCAACAAATAAATAAAGAGCCATGGCAGGAGGCGCTGTGTCCGTGATTGTTGTGTGAGATTGTAAAGTGTATACGCTGCTTGTGTTGTGTCAACTGATGAAGCTTTGTGTGTTGGTTTTGTAAAGTTACTCTTAAAATGAGCAAGTGACACATTGAGGATTTCTTTGCTGCCAACAAGCTGGATCACCAACTGGATCAACATTTCCTTCTTGAGTGAGCAACACAAGATAAAAGTGGTGCGCTGAGTAGCACAATTTATAAAGTATGAAGCATGGAATCTTTCTCTTATTCAGTCTCTAATTATTGTCAATACCAGAGGCCTTGCTGTGGTATATTGGGCAAGTCAATCAAGTCAATTATTGTAAGGACATCTCGAAAATCAGTTACAATGATGACCAAGAATTTAAAATACTTAGGCATAATAATGAAATGTTCAATTAAGTCAAGCCCACATCAATCAAATCAAAATCAAGTCTCAAATACTCATGTTTGTGTCTCAGGTCTAGAGTCTGTTAAAGGACAGGGTTTACATTATTTCATTATTCATTGAATTAATCATTAATTATTTTTGGCTCAGGCTTAGTCTGTTCTAATGAAGTCAAAAACAATCCACAAATATATGTTTTTTTGTTTGTATAAATGCTGAATAATTTTCCTGGACAGCTGGGCTTTGTAGATGTTATCTTAGTATTAACAGCTACTTCAAGAGTAAATAGTACATTTGCTAGGAACTATTCTAAGCTGTGGATTAACAGATATTTAGTGCTTGTTCGAGTATTTATAGCACAAGAACCGTGTGAAATGTAATCATAATAAACTACAGTTCCCATGTTCATTTTAATGAAGAAACATGTCTCCCTGTTCAACTTTGTGGCTCATTCATATGTTTCATTACGTTTTTGGATGGCAGTGGAAGTCTCTGCCACAGAGGGATAAACTCTTTTAAGCCTGGCTACACACATAATATCAGCCTTATCCTTTATCCTAAAAAAGAAGTCAGCACCTTGCATCGTCCTTACCTGTAGGTGTTTGACAGTGAAGACCACAGGCTCAGACAGGTAAACCTTATTGCTGTCCTTGTTAATGGATGCCGTGATGACCGGGGAGTTGACGATAACGGAGTAATTTGGGTAGACTGCATCGCTGCTCAGTCTAACGCTGGCGTTCTCTGTGGAAAGGTAGGCCCCCAAGTTCCTGTACAGCACGAAGGCCATCCTGATCTCACCTGTAAGAAGACACACGGGAAAATGGAGGAGATGCACTTGATAGCTGCTGGCTTAAACCATGATACAAATAGGCACTGGATATATAAGAGAACAATTTAATGATGGGAAAAAAATATTGCAAGTGGGTTAAACAGACAGAAATAGAGAGAGGGGGAGAAAAAGACAGAGAGGTCATAAACCTCATAATGGTGAGAGTGAGAAAAAGAGATAATGAGAGAGTTCTCTTGTACCGTTTCTGCCGTGTTGTTTGAGAGTGCTGGCTGACAGCTGGATGGAGTTTCCATGTAGTTCTGACTGAGGGAATGTCAGGTCTTCTAGGTTCCCATCCGTGCTCAGCCTGGCCACTTCCAGCTCTGCGTCACACACACACACGAACACACACACACACACACACACACACACACACACACACACACACACACACACACACACACACACACACACACACACACACAAACATAAGACAGACACACACACACACACACACACACACACACACACACACACATACACACACATACACACACACATACTCTC